GTGTGCCTGGGGGTCTCGTTCAGGCTGTGGTCACACACGTGGTGGTCGTGTGTGCCTGGGGGTCTCGTTCAGGCTGTGGTCACTCGGTAGTGGTCAAGAGTACGTCCTCTTCCAGGCACTGTGTAGGCCGAGAAGGCCACGTGGCCCCGTAGCCCTGCGAGTCTGAAGGCGGTGGCACCATGAGGGTCTTGCCGCTGTCAAGATTTGAGCTGCTGTCAGGTGCCTCTTCATCTTCCAGGCTAAACCACCAGGCCCAGAATTTTCCCTGAGCTCCCTTGAGACTCGGTACAGCGTCTGACGTCTTTGTTTTAAGCCCCCCAAGGCTGCAGAAACAAGGTGGGGTGTCCTGTTGCTCTTCCTTCTCCATCTTGCCCTGGGGTGCTCAGGCACGCAGCCCGCACTCCGGTCTCGGCTGGTGCTGCGTGACTCTGGCCTCCGTGGGTGGAGGTAGCTGTCTCGCTCACCCCGTGCCAGCCGCACAGAGGCATGCAGGGCTCACCCAGCACTCGTTCACAATGTAGTGTGAGCACAATGAGGACACTCCTCTTGTGCAGTAGTGAGTAACCTGGCTTTATTTCACGTGTGTACGTGGCGTGAATGAATCTTCCTTCCACATAAAATTGTTTTGGAAAAACTGATTTTTTGCCTGTTTTGCTTTGCAGAGGAGAAAGGTTCCAATGAAGCCTCCAGATGAGGTAAAGGTGAGTTTCATGGACATGCAAGTGAAAATCTGATTATTAGGGTTTCCGTAGGGATGGTTCTGTTTAGCGTTTGAAATGGGATGGTTATGTAGAGCTTGGTGTATTGTTTTTTAGAAGCTGATTAAGTTTTTGATGAATAAGATTAAGTAGTAGTCTTCCCCCGCCGCCCTAATTTTTGATGACTTAGGGTGAGGCATATAAAGCCACAGTCCATTCCTCCAAATCTAGACAGGAATTTCTGGGTGTCTGGACGGGGCGGGCCAGGTGGCAGGCCTTGTCTCTGGTGCTGTGGGTTCTTCTGGTCCTCCGCAAAGGTGGGCACGCCAGCGGGCATGTGCTGTGTTGCCAGTTGGGTGTGTGTGTGCTGCACGCTTGTGAGTGAGATGAGCTCAGCAGTTCTGGGTCCTTGGGGCCTCACCAGCACCTAGAGTAGACAGTCTCTGTTTGAGGAAGCTGTTGTGGTCCAGCCTCGGTTTCTGCCTTTGTCCTCTCCTTTGGGAAAGTGTGCATGTTGACAACTAGCTTTGAATACAGTTCCCATTTTGGAGCAGAGGGGCCAGGACGCTGGGCAGGGCTTGGGGGCCTGGGCCACAGGTGTTACCTGGCCTCGATGGATGGAGGGCCCGCCTGGGGCAGGAGCATCAGGTGCCTGTCAGGTGGGGGCTCTGTGTGACAGAGAACCAGAGAAAGTGACGTGGGTGTCTCCCCCGAGGGTTTGCCCCGTGATGACACCAGGTACGCGAGGCAGCCAGGGTTCTGCTGAGGGTCTCTGTCTGGGTTATGCAGACACACCGTGGCACAGAGTGCAAGCCCCACACAATGTCTGCAGAGAGCTGGGACCTGCTGCAGGCCATCTTGAGCAAGGAGCCTGGCACACGTTCCATCTGCCCTGCCACCAGGGCCTCTGTGAGGACAATCCAAGTCAATCCAGCCACAGGAGCTTTCAGAAGGGCCTCCTGTCACCTAGGCTGTACCTCACACCAGGAGCACAGAGCACCTGCTGGTGGCAGCTGGCTCACAGTGCTTTTCCATCCACATGCGGCGTGTGGCCTGGTGTTGGCACATGATGGGGCGCCCGCCTCTCTGCCTCACTTCATTCACTCGTTTCCCTCACGGCATCTGTGGCAACCTGCTTCTGTCACCGCCCAGGGCTCCCCAACTTTCTGCAAATACAGTGTTCACATTTTTCTTTAGATTTAACTTTTTAACATACCCAGGGGCACAAACTTGAGTGATGTCATTTTCAGCAGTCCCTTAGAAGGTAGATCTCGACACCTCACAGGTGAGCAGAACTGGCCAAAGGGAAGGTGACCCAGAGCAGTTTCCCTTGGGTGAGCCCTAGCGAGTCCACCTCGGGCGTGCTTCCTGACGTGCATGCGTGTGTGTGCGCGCTGTTGCCCTTTTGTGCTTTCTAGGGAAATCTGTGCTTCTCAGTACCCTTTTACTGTTGGAATAAGATGTGAATAAACCATTTTTTTTCAAATTGTCTTTATGAGCTCCAAATTGCCTCATCCTTTAGGATCACCAGGTAAACCTGTGTGACATCATTGAATGCCATGAGCTGAGAGAAGATCCCCCATGTGTGTGAGGAGCAAGGGCTTCTGTGCTAGGCCATGGGCAGGGTAACTAACAGCTCTAAGCTTCACTCTTCGGTTATGGAGCAGATTGGTAATGGTGGGGTTGTTGTAGGACTTTGTGGCGACACTTGGCTCTGGGGTCTGGCCCACACCGGGCTCTGTAAACATGAGTTCGGCCTGATTTGCTGATGTCCTGAGTCATCACTGTAACAGTTCTTCTTGGGAGAAATTATTTATCAGAGCACAGAGTAGGTTTTGTGAAAACCAAGCGAAGGAGGCACATTCACAGATCACCAAAGTCAAGACAGCCTAACCGGAGAGGATTCACACCCAGGCCAAGAGAACCTAATGGCAGAGGGTTCACACCCAGGCCATTATAGCCCAACCAGAGAGTGATCACAGCTAGGCCAAGACAGTCCAGTGGCAGAGGGTTCACAGACCCAGTGCCCCCTTGTCGGTAGCAGGAGCCTCAGCTTCCTCCTGTTGCTGGGTCCCTGTGAGTTGCTGGACGGTGGTGGACGCCCATCCCTACTGTGCAGGCTGGCGGGCCCCTGTGTGAGCCCCAAGTCCCAGGAGAGGGCTGAGGGTGGAGTGGGGCCATTGAACGGTGGCAGCACAGCCAGGCCTGCAGATTCCCAGCGTCTGCTGTGATGTGGAGCTTTTGTTCTTAACTCTGCTGAAGAAACGGTGTCACTCCAGAGTGTCAGTTGGTGACAATGCTGTCGTTTGACAGTAACTTGTCCAGTAGTGACAGGATTCAGCACCAACGTGAGAGCATGTTATTTGGCAGTATTTCGAGGGCTTTATGGTCTGAGCTGGTGTTCATCCCTTATGATACTAGAGTTGGTCCCCTATATATTTATTTAAAATATAGCTGTATGCTAACCCCAAAATCCTAATATTCTGAGAGCAACCAGTCGGGATGGAAGAAGGTTTGTGTGTGTGGTGGGTGGGGGGGCGGGGGAGGGTGTCTTGGAGAAGAGGGGCCGTTTCTGTAACAGTACAGAGTGGGATTGATGCGGGAGAAGAGGTGTAGAGGGAGACGGGCCCGGGAGAGGGGGCAGCTGCAGACGCACCCTCAGGCAGCTCACCTGGAGGAGGGAGGGGAATGGAATGCTGCTGTGGAATCTGCCATGTGATTTGTTAAGTGAAGTCCCTGGAAAGTAGCCATGGTCTGCCTGTTGCAGTGTCTCCAAGCTCCCTCAGCACCTGTAGGTCAGCAGAGGGCAGCAGCCCCTGGCTTGCTGGCATCGTTGGCCTAGGTGATGGCCACCACTCACAAGCACCACCCGGTGGTCCCTGGGCAGCAGCATGAAGTGAGCACAGCTTGGTCCTGCCCAGACAGAGCAAGCCCATCCTATATTTGGGTGGCAGGGTGTCATGTCCAGTCACTTGTGATTTCACCAGCTGGTGTGGACTGTCCGCTCAGTGACATCTGATCACTACCGTGGTCTCACCAGCTGCTGTGAACTGCCCGCTCAGTGACGTCCGATCACTACCGTGATCTCACCAGGTGGTGTGGACTGCCCGCTCAGTGCTGTCCGTTCACTACTGTGATCTCACCAGCTGGTGAGGACTGCCCGCTTAGTGACGTTTTTCCTCTTTTGCCTCACGGGGCCCTGTCTCCTGCAGGCTGGGGACTCGCTGGGAGACGGTGGCTCTGTTCTGGATTTCATGTCGTTGAAGCCGTACTCGGACGTCTCTCTGGACATCTCCATGCTCGGCTCTCTGGGTAGGTTGTGCTGGACGCACTCCCGTGTGACCCCGCAGTCGGGTGTCATGCTTGGCTGTGCCTCTGATCCCTGGTGCTGGGTTTCCACACAGCCTGAGGGGCCATCCTGAGGGCCACGGGGCTGGTGTGCCGCTGCCTGTCCTTGCTCCCGGGAATGTGGCCCAGCCTGGCCAGCTGGCTGTCGAGTGAGGGCCCACCGTCCTTGTGACCACCCTCCCAAATGGCTTCAAACAGGGCTTGCCTGGGTCTCCTTTCTGACTTCAGGCTCTGTTTGAGGATCGCTGGGGTCCTTTGATCCTGCTGGTTAGTGTGGTGATGTTAGTGTGTTAGTGCGTGTGTGTGTGCCCACCAGGATATGGCCTCGTGAATAGCTGGCCCCCACCATGTGAAATGCCCTCTGCTTCTGCACGGCTTCTGATGTTTGGAAGTCTCCCGTGCCACCCCAGCCCCTGCTGACTAGGTGTTTCGTGGTGCCTCTTCTCCCCCCTTTCACCAAGTGAGTGGTCCTCACCTGGGGGCAGCCTCCCCCTAGGATGTGTGGCAGCATCTGGAGACGTCTTTGGTTGTGACACTTGGGTGTGGTGCTTCTGGGATCAGGTGGGTAGAGGCCAGAGATGCTGCCAAACGTCCTGAAATGCACACAACAGCCCCCAGAAGGAATGACCCAGCCTGCGGTCAGTAGTGCTGAGGTTGAGAAACCTGCCTCATGTTAAAAGTGGATTTCGTCAAACCCGTTAAAGAGCATCACGTCAGGTCCTGCTTTGTCGTCCTCTACGACAGTCTCTGCCTTTGGTTGGGGTGATTTTAGACCATTTGTGTTTAATGCAGGTACTGGTTTGATGGGATTCAAGTCTGCCATCTTGCTGTCAGTTTTTTATTTTCCCAACTGTTCAGGGGTCCCCAAGACCGCCCCCAGGTTTGGTGATTCCCTAGGACTCCCAGGACTCAACATAGAGTCATCCTCACGGTTTATTGCAGAGAAAGGAGACACACAAGAACCCACAAAGGGGAAGGGTGCGTGGGGTGAGTCTGGGGAGACCAGGCACAAGCTTCCAGAGAGTCCCACAGGACGCGCTTGATCCCCAGCAATGAGTTGTGACATCATAGGCACCCTCTGCCTGGCACGTCCCCAGATGCCAGGCCGCCAGAAGGAAAGCAGGAGTTGAGCATAAACCACATAGCTCGCACCAGCAGTTCAGGTGCAGCGAGTCCCTCCTGTCATTCGGGTGGTGGGAACCCTCCTGAATCCGGGTTCACCAGCCAAGGGCCAGCCTTGCCTTGAAGGCTCGCAGTCTTGGGCTGCCGTGTGAACACCTCTCTGCACACTAGCAGTTCTTTGTTCTGGCTGCGTCTGAGACTGCCCCTGTCGCTGGTTGTCGGTGGCTGGGTCATAATGGGCCTTGGTTTGCTGTCCTTTAGATCCACTCTCCTCAGGTTGATTCAGCTTGTTGGACCTGGCGTTTATAGCTTTATCAAATTTAGGAAGTTTGGCTTCGTTTCTCCAGCGGTCACCTGGGCCCCGATTTGCTGTTGAGTCTCTGCTTCGTTTTGGGCAGTCCCACACTGTCCTGGAGGGCGCTGGTCGTCCCTTCTGCCGTGGCTGACCTGCCGTTGTCCGGGGTTTCCCTGCGGATGCTGCGCTTTGCATCTCTGAGGCTCCATTGGGCTCTGCCAGTGTTCCTCTGCCGTCCTGAACCTTGGCCCTTGCTCCCAGTCGCTGTGTGAAAGCAGGCTGCTTGTCCTCGCACCCTTTTTTTTTAATTTGTTTAAAAACTATTTTATTGAAGTCATAATGGTTTATAACTTCGTGAAATTTCAGGTGTACATTATTATTTATCAGTTTCTGTGTAGACTGCATTGTGCTCACCCCCAATAGACTAATTTTTGTCTGTCATTGTATAAACGTCCCCCTTGACCACTTTCGCCCACAGCCCCCCACCCCCACTCTGGTAACTGCTAATCTGTTCTCTTCATCCATGTGTTTGTGTATCTTCCACACATGAGTGAAATCATGTGGTGTTTGCCTTTCTCTGTCTGGCTTATTTTGTTTAACATGATGCCCTCAAGGTCCATCCATGTTGTTGTAAATGGAACGATTTTGTCTTTTTCTATGGCTGAGCAGTATTCCATTGTATATATACACCACATCTTTAGTCATCAGTTGATGGGCACCTGCGTTGCTTCCATGTCTTGGCTTGAGTGAATAATGCTGCAGTGAACATAGGGGTGCGTAAGTCTCATTAAATTGTTGATTTCACGTTCTTTGGATAAATACGTAGTAGGATAGCTAGGTTGTATGGTATTTCTATTTTTAATTTTCTGAGAAATCTCCATACTGTTTTCCATAGTGGCTGAACCAGTTTGCATTCCCACCAGCAGTGTGTGAGGGTTCCCTTTTCTCCACATCCTCTCCAACATTTGTTGTTTTTTTCTCTTGGTAATTATAGCCATTCTGACAGATGTAAGGTGGTTATCTCATTATAGTTTTGATTTGCATTTCCATGATGATTAGTGATGTTGAACATCTTTGCATGTACCTGTTGGCCATCTGTATCTCTTCTTTGGAAAAATGTCTGTTCATGTTCTCTGCCTATTTTTTGATTGGGTTGTTTGTTTTTTTGTTGAGTTGTGTGAGTTCTTTATATATTTTGGAGATTAACCCCTTGTCGGTTATATGATTTGCAAATATTTTCTTCCAGTTGGTGGGTTGTCTTTTCATTTTGGTTATCGTTCCCTTTGCCTTGCAGAAGCTCCTTAGTCTGATGTAGTCCCAGTCCTTCATTTTTCCTTTTGTTTCCCTTGCCTGAGTAGACATGGTATTTGAAAAGATCCTGCTAAGACCAATGTCAAAGAGTGTACTGCCTATGTTTTCTTCTAGTTTTATGGTTTCAGGTCTCACATTCCAGTCTTGAATCCATTTTAAGTCAATTTTTTGTGTATGGTGTAAGATAATGGTCTGCTTTCATTTCTTTTGTATGTGGCTCTCCAGTCTTCCCAACCATCTTGTTTATGACATTCCGCCTGGTGGGATCGTGTTTCCCTGCTTCTTTGCCTGCCTGGTTGTGGTTTATCAGAGGCCACACCCTGCAGGTGTGCACTGGGTGCTAACTGGGTCACATGCCTTGGAACTGTGGTGGGCCTTGCTCCGACAGGCGGGCAGCCCAGTGTACGTCAGGCCCTGGCCAGGTTGTGCTTTGAGGTGTTGTTAGGATGGGCACAGAGCCACATTGAGTGTCGGGCGGGCGCAGTCCCCGTTAGGCCACACCCTGCCGTGGGCTTGAGACACAGATCGTCGCAGATGTGTGTGAGCTCTTGGACTCCCCCCAGCGGGGTCGTGCCCTCTCACACACATGCAGGGCAGTGCTTGGCTGAGACCCAGGGGCTCTCCGCGCAGCCCGTCTTCTCCAGCTCTCAGCCTACCTGCTGACCGGACCCTGTGGGTCCCCTCCCTGGCTCTGGCCTGTGCCTGGTCCTGGTGTCTGCTGGCCTCTGTGGCACACACCATCCTGCTTTCTAGTTGTTTACGGGAGGAGGGCAACGCTTCTGTGCTGTGCATATGATGGCTTGGATTTGACGTGGCGCCTGGTTTCTTATCTGACACTCCTGCCCCTCCCGTCGAGGCCTCTACCCACTATTGCTCTGACTGACTCGCCCTGACCTCCAAGCTGGTTTGTGCTCGTCTGGCTTCACTTATGAATGGTTGTCATCCTGCACACGTGTGGTGACGAGCGAGCGATCAGAGCTATAGGCCGGAGGTGCCGGTGCACAGTGCTGGGCCGGGCTGACGTCCGATTGTCCCCATATTTGCACAGGGAAGGTGAAGAAGGAGCTGGACCATGACGACAGCCACCTGAACTTGGACGAGACGACGAAGCTCTTACAGGACCTGCACGAGGCGCAGGCGGAGCGCGGGGGCTCCCGGCCGTCCTCCAACCTCAGCTCCCTGTCCAACGCCTCCGACAGGGAGCAGCACCACCTGGGTAAGGTGGCCTGGCCTCGAACTCCGCCCCAGATCCTGCAGCAGCAGTCCCGGTGCACGAGTGGTGGTGGTCGGCATCTGGGAAGAGGGCAGGGGCGCTCACTTTCAGGAAAGGCTGGAGATGTGGGATGTCAGCACTCCTGCGGGCCCCACTGCCTTCCTGGGGTGCCCCTGCCCCTGGGGCTTGGAGAGCGCGCTTCCCTCACCAGGCGGCTGCACTGAGGTGAAGTGTTTAAGTGGAATTTAGGGGCCTTGTCCAGAAGATGCTGGCAGTCCTGTGTCAGGAGGAGCGCAGCCGGCCGTGCCCAAGGCCCCTGGTTGCAGGCAGACTGAGGCTGGGGCTGTCGACCCTGACCGCCACGTGGAGTTAGATGTGGGGAAGCGTCCTTTCTTTCGGCTATTCCCGCTTTCAGTCCTAGAGCAGCGTGTGGACTAGTGCGCTTCCCCCGGACCCTGACTTGGGGCGAGCATGTGACCTTCCTTGGCCGGGGGCTCCCACGTTTGACAGGTGACAGGCGGGGTGGGCGTGTCGGGACCCCTCCGGGATGTCACAGCTCCCGTTTGCCTCATGGCTCCTTGGATTTGCTTGATTATGCCCGCATGCTACTGTTCTAGTTCCCAGATAGAAATACTGAATCATTCTTTCAGCAGAATAGATCTTGACGTTTTAGGAAGGGAATAAAAGAGGTAATCAGTTACAGAGAGAGGTTTGGCTACAGCCATTTGAATAAGGACCCATATCTCCGGTCCCGTTAACCCTGTGATAAACAGTGTGTGAGGGGGGCTCCTGGCGGCCCTGGGTCAGCTCCAGGTGTGAGGACCCCAACATCCTGGTGGGCTCTCAGTGTGACACGGGAGCTGCTCGGGGGCTGGGATTTGTCATCAGGACCCCTGGCAAGTAGCCTTCGTTGTTGCAGAAGCAGCAGCCCTGCTGTGTGGAGTGTCAGGCCCGACCTCCCGCTGCAGGCTGTCCACACCACGTCTGTGAAGAGTTGCCCTCTGCCCCTCCCCAGGAGAGATGAGGGGTGGTCTGTCCCCCAGGAGAGATGAGGGGTGGTCTGTCCCCCAGGAGAGATGAGGGGTGGTCTGTCCCCCAGGAGAG